CTTATATAGAATTCTTATGCTAAAAGATATTTATATGCCTGTCCCCCGATCCAACAAAAAAAATGTGTAAGAGCAAATAAATAAACATTTAACCCATTTTCCCCCGGTTTCCCGATATTAGAACATCTTTATTTTTTTGATTTGGAACATTTCCTATTTATATTTTTATCAAATCCTGATTTATTTTAATTTCATTTTATTAGAAAGAATGAGTAAAAGTGCCTACAAATCGAGTAAGGCGTTTAGCGTTGTTTTCCTAAAAAAAGCTGTTATCTAAATTAAACTGGTATTATTTTTTAAAAATGAAAACAATTTTACGTTTTCTAATTTTTATAGTTGAGTTAGACTATAATTCATTTGTGCTAAAATTTAATTATTTATGATCCTACACTGGAAAACCGGAAACTCAAACAAGTATAAAATAAATTATATTTTAAAATTTCTTACAATACTATTATTAATTATAAAGTATAAATCTTATTATTTATATAATATTTATATAGCTATTATTGGAGAATAAAGATAAGATTATCAATAATTTTCTCTGAGCTATCTAGCGATAAGAATCAAAGTAAGGGGGATTGTAGAGATAGAGATGAAGGTTTTATAATAAATTAATCTCAGACAACCATGGAATCACATAGAAAAGAGTTTTTATTAATGAAATATATGAAATCAGCAAAAATTATTTATTGAAATGCGGAAAGAAGAAAAGGGGGATATCAAAATATTCGGTAAGTCACTGAAACTTAAAGGAAATTTTTAACATTATTTTTTTTATTAAAAAATAATAAATATGCGATCGTGAGGCTATTGGCTAAAATTTTTGAATGTAAAAATAATTCAAAGTTTCATTATTCAAAAGTTTTAAGAATTGCATGAATTTTGTAAAAATTTTCACAATTCTTCGTTGAATACGCGTAATTTTCGATATTTAAAATTTTTTATGGACATTAGTTGAAGATTTTTTAATTAATAAATATTAATTTAACGTATAATATTTTTTTTAAATTTAAAAAATAGTTTTCCCCTTTTTTTATGGATTACGAGATAGAAAATTTGCTATAAAGGGGTTCACGATAAAAGTTTCGCTCTAAAGTATTCGCGACATTACCTTCACTATAAAATTATTTCGCGATAAAAGTTTGGCTGAATTGACCTATTATGAACTTAAGCAACAATAATGATTACAAAGCGTTCCATTTACTTAGATCACTACCACAAATCTAATCCATTACTGACTCAAGTTTTTTTAAAATTATTATTAATACAGATAAAATGAAGTCGTTTTTTTCTTTATTTTTATAAATTTAACATTATTATAAAGTTCTAAAAATTAAACATATTTAGGAATCATAAAAATATGTGTACCAATAAAACGATTTTACCATTATAACTATCTGAGGTATTTTACTATACAATTAATTTTCTTTTAGGAAATTCTTAAGAAATAGATAAAATAAAAAAATTAACGATAAAAAAACATTACGAGATAGGTAGTTAACAAAAATTTCAAATTTAGTTACCTATATTGAAGGTTAATTATATCTAAGGAAAAAAATATAATGTGGTTCTACTCTATTAATATTTTACCATGAAAAATACTACATAAGTTATCTATTAAGGTTATCTCTAACTGTATATAACTTAAAACTCAAAAATATTATAATTATTAATTGTAATAAAATAACGATATAAAATATTTAAAATTCAAATTTTAAGTATCAATTCCATATAAATTAATAAAAATTTGGCTTTTTCCCATATAAAAGAGAAATATTGTGGTAGTACAATAATATAATAAACACAGTTCCCCTTACCCTCTTGCATTTGTTCCATACACTATAAAACTTTTTATTAAGTGTATTTAAAATTTTGTATAATGTATTCGAAATTATATTTTAAAATTGAAATATGAAGAATCAAAGTAATTAATCTTGATAATAGCTTCTTCGCCTCCTGTACTAATGCTAAAAAATTATATATATGAGGTTAGTTTATATATAGTAAAGTATATTATATATGGTTAATTCCCAAAATCAGCTTAAGAATGGTTATAATTCTCAAAAATTTTGGATATTCAAATTTGTCACTATGGTTGATTATTTCCCCTTTTAGCATATCTATAAATTTTGTTTAAACAGGCCCGCTTATTTAAATGTATTTTTAATTAAACATATATAATATGCAATATTATGAAATAAAACTATCAATTTTAACAAATTGAAGTCTATTCTGCTCATTTCGCTTGAAAAAGATCAAAAATTTATCCGCCCATTTTTTAAAATTTTTTTTCAACCCACCTGCCCAATGTTGAAAATATTTTTAAAAACCCGACCATACTCATTCAAAGTATGGGCGGGCGTGGACGGGTAAACATCTGTGATAGGCGACTTTAAGGGGGTAGAATAAATTTATAGGGTAGTTATTTATTAAATTTTTAGATGAAATATGGCAAAATACATTGCTGTAAATAATATGTACTTTTATTATAGAACATACTCAGCAAATTCATATTCATGCTAAACAATATGCTATAATAATGCATTCACTGTAAATGAGGGGGGGGGGTTTAATTAAATTTATGATCTAAAAAATAACTCAAAATAATTTATGTATTTCTTTTTAAAATTTATGAAAGATGTATCATTATAATTAATAATGGGAAAACAGCGAAAAATTTTTAGGGGGGAGTTTTCATCCAGTGGAAATCCTGTCATGTAGGAGCTGTTCGTACTGCTGGACAAATAAGTTAAGTTAACATTTTATGCCATTCACTTCTTAACTACCCTAATATCGTTTACTTTTAAATGTTTCATATAAACTTGGAATCTTCTTACTAACCTCTAAATTAATTAAAAAATTTAATTAATCTAACTATTACAATGATTTACTTTATCGATGTGGCCAAATCCTAATATATAACACTTAGCTCAACATTTTCACATCCATTTATTCTTTACAGCTAAAGAAATGCATCGAAAATCTAAACTGCATCTGACCTATATAGCTTACCTTTATATTTAGGGCTTATGCTTATCATATTATTACCCCCCCCCCCCCCTTCCCCCAACAATCGTCATTTGATGAATCAATTTTCAAAATATTTATGTAAGCTACTTAACTAATTTTGGTGAAGATTATATGTATTTCTACCTCAATTAATGTCATGTTTCATCCAGAGCTTCAAACCGTTAAGTATAGAGGTTAGGTTTTTAGTTTAAAATTTTATAAAGGTTTTGTTCCATTTCGGATTTTTTGAATTTTATAATTTCTTATTTATTTTCGCCATGAAGAATATTTTTTATCTAATTAATGAAGAATATTTCTTATCTAATTAACTAGTAATTTGCCTAATCTCTATTAAATTGAGTAATAAATTTAAAACAATAAACTTGGTATCGATTGATATGAGAATAGCGATTTAATTTTAAAATTCAAATTGAAAAGAAATCACAAATTTAAATTGCCCCCAAGAAAAATTAAAATTTAGGTTAATAATTTAAAATTAATTATTTAAAAAAACCGCTATGAAACGCATTAAACCGGTTCAAAATATTTATAACAGTTCGGTTCGCTCTTTTAATATTTTCTTTATAACGGTTCATTCCGGTTTCGCGGTTAGGGTTGAACCCTGGTTTCATCAAAAGGATCTTCAATAAATTAATTTTATCTTAATTTTCTTTTACAACGGTTCAATTTTTAAAAATGGCCAGCCAAATATTTTAGCCAAAAAATATTATGCAAGCATGGATATTTTGCTCAAAAAGATAGAAAGTTTGGGCATTTAAATTAAATAACCAAATTCGAGGCTTGTGCAATATTATTTTGATTATAATCTTAATTTGAAATTGGCGAAATAGACTAGTTTTACACTACACAACATATTTGAATAATGTTTATTTTATTAAGAGTTTGAAAGCTGGATTAAAAAGGATTCCAGTTCTGAATATTAATAAGGTTCCAATGTCAAAATTCTGTTAATAGTGTTATTAAACGGCTCCATTTGAGCTGATTTTTAAAAACGGCTAACACAGTATTTTATCCAGGTAAACATTACGCAAGACTGAAGATTCTTCTCATAGATGATCCGAAGGTTTAAACATCTAATAGCGAAATCTCAAGGCTTAGGTAATATTTTTCTTGCTAAAATATTGAGTTAGCCGTTTTTAAAAATCGGCTCAAAACGAGCTGTTTAACAACACTATCTGTTAGCAATGGAAAAATTTAAACTTCCTAAAATAAATTATTCAATATTTTAAACAACATAAAACATATAAATTGAGCCACGGATAATATTTCCACAAATTTTTTTAAATCCCCGCCCTCCCCCCACAAAAAATTAATGGTTTTTCATTTATCATATAAATTCAGTTCCAATTACTATAAGTATTAGAAAAGGAAATCGGTTCATAGATTTTTATTTCCAAGTTGTTAACAATAGTTTTATTTCTTATAATACAAATTATAGGAATCACCATTCCATCATTTATTGATTTTTTAACCCTTCAATAGTTAAGTGGTGTCAATTCCATATTTTTAACTTCATATATAAATCTAGAGGTCTGCGTGGGTTGTCTTTAGCCTGACCCGAAAACGGGTCGGATTCGGATATAAAAGATTTTTTATGTTAGGGCTTGGGTTGTAAATGTACAACCCGAAGCCTGACCCTATAAATAAATATATAAATAATTATTTTAATATGTCAATCAGAAATCAAATTATTTTATTATTATTCCATACTTTATTTACATCATATTCTATCAGGCTAATTAAAATATGAATCCCGAAAAAAACTCCGAAATTTTTTTTCGAATTTACTTAAGATCTAATAATATCGGTATATTTTTATTTTGATTTAATAAGGTATAGACAAATTAGTATTTTAGAAAAAAATATTATAAAAATGTAATTTAATAATAAATTATATATATAATAATGATTTATCAATAAAATAAACAGATCTTATTGAAAATTTGTCAAATTTAGTCTACTTAATATATAAATAAGATGGATATTGTATTTATTACTATAGCTAAAAATTTTTACGAAAATAAAAAATACATGGGTTATTTTACTGGGATATTTTTTTTACCCAGTACCAATTTGAACATCACGATTTTGTTTTCGGTGTCCAACTACCTACACGCCATCGTTCAAGTTTGGTTTCATCGGCAGCCACCTCGCATTTCATTTTTTTTAATCAATACCCTGATTGATGGGTGTTTATTCCCAACCAGATTAGAAAAACGATGATTCGAACCTTCGCATTAATTATTTATGAATTATTCGTTGGATAGAGTGCTCTGATTCAAGTTTATGGAGAAAATCGAGGCCCAATTCGACCTGTCTGGGATTGAGAATTGCTTCTGACCTCCATTGATACTCCATTGATGTAATTTTTATTGAAATATTCAAGAATATCCTTACCATTACTCGTAGTAACCGATCTAAGGAATGCCATTGCAATGCCCACATCACATAAAGGAACAAATGCTAAGCCGTCCATCATGCCACAAAAGTAGCTTAGGGCTTCATCGGTTCTGTATTGGCTTTCCAGACCTAGCTTTTGAATTTTTCTATGGGTACTTTGACACAAATGGTAAAAGCATCCTCTGATTATGATGTGATCCCCTAATTGAAAAAATAAATATAAATAATTTAACATATTAATAATCATACCAATGACAGTTTAACCGCGCTCATAGCAGACTTTTCGAAATCCATGTATATATAATGGATCAGGAAATAAATCCCGTTCTTGACATTTAGACATTATTACTTCGAATATTTTTTCGTAAGTATTTTGTGTTTTTTTTTGGAGTTTAATAGCTGTTAATGATTGTGGAATTCGCTTATAAAATTATTTATCAATATTAATTATTGCTAGGTTATACTAAAAAAATTAAGTGAAAATTGAGAAGAAAAAAATTGAGAAAAGGTCAGAAAAATAAAGATTAACAATGACTTAAAGCAAAAATGGGAAGAAAATAATAAATTGAGAAAAAAATTGACAAGAATTTTTTTTTAAAAAATAACGATTTTCTTTTTTTTTTAATTTTTTTCTATTGGGTTTTTTTCCGGGGAATTTTTTTCCATGGGTTGTTTTTCCTATTACCTTAAAATATATTTATCTAATATTTATTTAATTAAATAGCCTCAAATTTTCAATATTTAAATTGTTTAACAAATCTCAAATTGGTGGATGACTTATCAAAACGACTTTCCCAATTTAAATGTTTGGCTTTTAATCCTGCCTATCCCTGCTTCCTTGGCTAGCAGTGAAAGAGCGTTAATAGGTGGACTTGTTTAGAGTCTGATAAACTCAACTTCTTATTATTTATATTCCACATTTATTCACTATGCGATACTATTGATAATGATATATCTTTATAATATGTTCATTATATCATGCATATTATTTTAACATAATTTTTAAATTCTATTGTATTTCAGCTTTTTAAATATATAAACTGAGGTATATGTTCCCAATTTAAATAAAATGCAACTTAATATAAATAGTGATTATATTATGACGGTCAAATAACTTTTATTTAAGGTAATATACATAATATTTAATTGTATTTGGATATTATAATATTCACACTCAAATTTAAAAAAATTCAGTCGGGTTGACAACAAATTTTTTTTGAATTCGGGCTTGGGCCATGAAAAAATCACTTAGCAGACCTCTATATATTACTCAAATATTCATAATCCTTGATAATTAAATTACTTATTAGATTAACTAAAAAATTTGAAGATTAAATGGTAACTAAAATTTTCATAAGAGATTTTTGTTACAAAAAACAATTAAGAATATAATGGGCATAAAATTTATTAATATCTAAATAATATTAGCAAATTAATTTTTAAAATTTTAATAATAATTATTTATAAATAAAGTTATAGTTGTCTGGATGATATATTTTAAAATGTGAATTCAATGTCTCTTTGTCTCTCCAAAAAACGTTTATATCTTAAAAACTAATAATAGGCTAAAATATCTAAATGTTAGTAGTAATAATATTTACAAAATTTTTGAGGTGTTGATATATCATGTCTGACCAGGTAGGGTTAAATAGTCACTTATCATTGATATTTAATTTACTAAATTTAATTATATAACCTTTTTCCATCAGGGTGAAATGCTAAGGAATTTATAGGACCAAAATGTCCAGGTACTTTTGCGAATTCTTCCTCGTAAATCAGATGATAAAGTCTGGTTTCAAAACCACCTTTGTCTGCACTTGTCGTAACTTGCCTAACATCTTCCCCTCCACCTAAAGCTACCTATTTTGTAAAATCATCATATTTCATTAATTTTTCCAAATTATTCACTTACAATTAATGTTGAATATTTCATCTGAAATATCTAATAAAGAATGTTTTTTATTTTTTTCTCATTAATTAAATAAAATATGGACATTAAATACTAACAAATGGGTCATCTCACATGAAATCAACCAGGTTTCGTGGTTCTATTTCAAATCAATTAAATTGCATGATGTTAGTATACTTTGTAAGGACCTAATTTAATTTTTTAAGCTCTAACTCAATTGTTTAGGAGATATAGTGAGTCAAAGCTAAAAGATTAATTCAAAAAACCGATAAAAATAAAGATTACTAAAATAAATGATAGAGATATATATTTCAATGATCAAATATGATTCGTTCAATTGACCAATAAATGCTTTTTAAGATAATATTTTTTTTTGAATATTTTATAATATTTTCCTGTTGTCAAGATCTTCAATCGATTTCTGTTTTAGTAACCTGTAGCGTGTGAAAGTGATTGCCGTGAGATTTCGAATTCTCACACCAAATCTCACGGCTCATACCATGTGAAAGTGATTTCATGAGATTTTGATTTTTATCGCTTCAAATACATTGGGGGCCATTTAAATATTCAGAATCTCACGGCTATTCAATATTTCAAAATCTCATGGATTTTTTTAAAATCTCACATTACGAAAATAATATGGATTAGATTTTCTCAAATTTAAAACGTCAGATTTTAATGTAACTGTCAAATTGAAATATTTCTATATAATACATTTTAATTTGAAAAGAAAGGAAAGGAATGGGTCATTCCATGACAAATCAACCACGATTCGGCCGACCCCCTTCAATTTTTTTTAAAATTTGGTAAGCAAAGAAAGGTTAGTATAGTTAAGAAATAGCCAAAATGTTAGCCTCGTATCTTTTATATTTTTGGAGATATTAGGGTTCAAAGTGGCAAAAATGACGTATTTTTACCATTATCTGCCTTCATTAAATTAAGCATATTTAAAAACTACATAATTGTAAATAACAAATTTAATATCAAAATTACGTACAAAGATTCTACTTTAGATAAAAAAAATTAAAAAATTTTTTTTTCCAATTTCCGGTCATTTTATTTAATATAGGACTAAAAACAATTTTTTGAAAATAATACGACCTTCAATTTTTTTAAAAAATTTAGTAGACATTATTAAACTCTCCTTTATATTTAAAAAAAAAAATAATCTGGGACGCGGCCATCTTCATTCTCAAAATTGATAAAAATGTTTAGAAAAGTGTATAAATTATATATTAATCAGTTTTTAATGGTTTTTCTTAGACTATTTGATATAATTTAAAGGATTATTCATCTTGTAAGTGAAAATAACAATAAATGGGGCTTTCATTCAATTATAGAAATTGTCTATCGATAAAAGAAATTCAATTTATTACTTTATTTATAATTTAAATTTATTATAAAATTTTTTGCCCATATAACATATATTTAATGAATATTAATAAAATATGTTCAATTAAGTTTCGAGTTCTTGAATATATGAATCAGAATCTTGTGCATTTCATATATGGCGCCCTAAATATTAAAATAATTGATATAATTTAAATTTAAAAATCTAATAAACAACTCACTTTTAAAAGATTCTAATTTTTCGGTAGCGCATTTACTTTCTTGTGACAACAATGCATAACTACGGCCAGTAGCAGTTAACAGTGAAACTAATGTTAAGATATGACATTTGGGCAAGTAAAGAGTGTCGTCTATACTTGGAAATGTAAAGGAATTAGAAAGTCCGGATGGGTTAAAAACTTTATATATCCTGCTTTTAATTTTTCACTAAAACAAAGCTACCAATTAGAATCATAAGGATACGTTAGGTATCCTGATATTTCTTCAATAATTATACTTTCATCATTATATGATAACTATTCTATAGTACTTTCTATTGAATTTCCCTTGGCACTATAAAAGGGGAGTTTTCTGTCATCAGGGTCAATAGTTTTGTAAATTGATGTAGATCTGTTGGAATCAAGGTGTGTATGTTATGTGTTCCAGATATAGATCTAGTTTTTGAAAATCTTTCCTTGAGTAATAAATCTTCATAATCATAATTTATTTTGGTCATCCATTCAAAATATATGACATTAATATTTTCTTTATTTAACTCGTACAATTCATATGATGTGGTTATTTACTTTGAGTAAGGCCTTGTAAACTAGCTCTAACGGCTAATCTTTTAACAGTGTCACCAATCCCATCACAAACACTTTTCCAGTGTGCTATAGCAGAAAAATTTCATTTCGCCTAATCCATCTCATGATGGCAAATATTAATAAAATTTTTACGATTTTTATCATCGGAAAAATAAAAAATTTTATTTGGCCTACAAATTTTATTAATTAAAAAATTTACCAATGTTTTTTTGAAATTATGTACTGCTATTGTATTGTGTTGCAAAGATTCGGATATCATTACATAATTTAGGCAACAAATATTGGCAAAATTATCTTTATAATATATAACAAAAGGATGAGCAGTGGATTGAGCCCTATTCTAATGATAATTTTGTACTTCATCCTAAAGTATAAAGCTATAGTTTTCTTAAAAATTACAAAATTAAATATTGGTCTTCGTCTAAGTTTAATTTTAGATTGTTTTGATATAACGATTGTTGCGTTGAAATAAAAAAATGGAGTAATAAATATTCCATTTTTTTTAAAAAGGCATTGATAAATTCACCTACTGGTTTGGTCATTGTTTCAAGAGTGGTTCTATCTACGGATAGCCATTGTTTGTATGTTATAAATTCGATGTCCTTAGAACAAAACAATATTTCTATTTGATCGCGTAAATGTGTTGACCCTGGACAATTATCACATTTGCCCATATAACTGGATGGTTGAAGCGAATTACAAATTATTAAGTGTAAAATATGTTTGTATGTTTTAAAGGGCACCATATCATTGGTTAAATTTGATCCAATGATCATTAATTTGGCGGTAGCTACAATCACATACATGTGTACCACTACCTCCAACGAGTATGCAATTTTTGGGCGAATGCTTGCAAATTTCGAAAAACCAATTTTAACATCAGACCTCATTTCTTTAAAAAATATATGAATTTCTTTCAAATTATCTAAAATTAATCTCTTATGTATGGTATTCTTTTTTCCGTCTTTGGTCAAAATCGAAACGCAATCTTTCTTGCCTGGCATGATTCTGCTTATTTCGTCCATACAATAAAATTCTTGTACAATTTTAACTGTATATTCGTCTATAGTTTTTCCAGGCTTGGGGTTAGGTGTTGATAGAAATAAAAATACCAATAAATTAATTAAAAAAATGAAATAATATAGTGAGCATGTATTATTGAATGATTAATCAATTTTAAAATTTTTATTTATTTTATTGATTGAAACACTTATTTATTGTTATTCTAATTTAGTAAGGCTATGCCGATTTTAGAAAATCCGATCCAATATTTATATTGATTTGGGTTATTTTATGATAATACTTTTATTTTGTATATAATTTCATAATAATAATAAATTAATATTTGTAATATTTTAAAAATATCAAATTATTTTAAAAAATTGAGTAGAGAAAATTTTGATATTTTTTTGGCGTTTATGAAATGCACAACATATATTCAAGAACTATAAACTTGGTTAAATATATTTTATTAATATTCATTAATGACCTGAATATTTCCTGTATTATGAAGTAAGTTTTTAACTAACAATATATATTATATTTTATAAATATTTTTGGTGATAATTTCTCCCAAAATAAATGAATTTTTAAAATTTTCAAAAATTCCACTTAATGTCAATAAGTCTAACTTTATTAGAAAAAGCACGTCCTACAAGATAAAAGATGACAATCTTTACTACATGATAGGGGAAAGTAAATTTTAGATATTTTTTTATTTCAAATTGTCATAATGTATATAGGTTTATATATATATTAATTTATTTTTTAAATTTAGGATAATTATTAAATTTGATTAAAACATTTCATATATTTTTGTTAAAGTCTTAATTAATTTATTTTATAGGTAAATCAGGATGTAAGTGTATTTTTTATTTCAAATTATTTTAATGTATTTTATGTTTATATATATAAGAACATTTAATATATTTACTAAGATTTTACATATAGGCATTATAAGATAAGTGCTATTTATACAACTAAAATTTAATTTAGATTATCACATAATTTATTATTTCTGCAACATCACCTAATATTATTATAAATATAAAATTTAACATTGCAGAAGTTAACACTTTGGGTAAAAGTAAATGTCAGATACTTTATAATGTATAAATATAAAATTTTCAATGCAATTTTTCATTATAAATCTTTAAGCCATTGATTGTTTTTATTTTTTCTGCTTATTATTATGTATATAATATAATGATATATTATTTTAGAAGAAAGAAAAGTTATATGGTCAGGAGATGAACAAAGGAAGATAATTAAAATGATACATTCCAGGTATTTCCATGGGAGGGCATCTGGGGATAAATAAAACTAATCAAATAATAACTGAAAAGTAAACATTTGCAACATTATCTTAATTAATTTTTTTATAGCTTTTATTGGTTAGGAAGCAATAAACACATTAGGGAGTTTATCAAATCCTGTGAGGTTTGTCAAAAATCAAACAGTCGTTTTGATAAAAGTTCAAATGTTATGCATAATATAAAGGTTGTACCAAAGTCTTTGTATCAAATTGGCATCAATTTAATCCAGATGCCAGAGTCTAAAGAAAATTTTAAATATATTATATGTGCAATATGTTATTTCTCAAAATATTTAATGACCATTCCTATAAAGGATAAAACAGCTAAATCTGTTGTGAAAGCCTTATACATTATTGTCAACACCCACCAATGTTATGAAGTAATAAAATTAAAAATATCAATTTTAACTTTGAATTTTATTTGTTTTTAATTTAATAAAACTAATAATATATAAATTCAGATAAATGATCAGGGTAGGGAATT